ATAACAAGTGTAATATCCACTAAAGCAAAGCTTAAGTATATAACACCAACAATTATCGCCCAGTCCGACCTCGTTCACCGTGGACCTCTTCCCTCTGACACTTTTCTGAGATGAGTTAGCACTCATCGTCTCGTAGATCTCCATCATCTCTTCAGCTGTATTGGTCTCATTATCCACCATGTATTGCAAGTTCTGGTGGAGGGAGTCATAGAAGCACTTCGCCAAAAGCCCCGGTGAAAGGTTATGATGTGGGCATTGCCGTTGGAGATCCTTAAATCATTCCCAGGCCTCACGAAGGGCCTCATTAGGTAGCTGAGTGAAAGAGACTATCTGGGACCGAATATCTTGGGTCTTCTGGTGGGAATAGTACTTCTCAACAAACTTTGAATAGACCTCTGTCCATGTTGTCAGAGAGTCAGGGGCCAGGGTCATAAACCACTCTTTAGCCCAATCCTTCAGCGTCTCCAGGAAGCACCGCATTTTTAGATGGTCCTCAGATATCCCATGTAGAGGAAACGTCTGTAGAACGATGTAAAACTCCTAGAGGAAATGAAGTGGATCCTCATTGGGGAGCCCGTGGAATGAAGGCAACTGGTTGTAATGGATCATTTTCAGCTCATAGTTTCGAGCGGCTTGAGGCAAACGTATGCAAGAAGTGATTGGCCCGATCATAGGTTGGGCCAGATCCCTGAGGACATTGCGGGGAGATTGTTGTCGTTCAGCCATGCCTGAATCACTTCCTTCGGATGATTCCAGAGAATGCTCGCCTTTTTCTAGTGACTCGAGAGTAAGCTCTTCCAGTAACTCCCTCAAGCTTTCGTTGGCTGATTTGTTGATCGGAGATAGTATATGTCCACTCCTGGTACGCATACACTCAGAAAAACAAAAGGTCACGAGCACCAACGGTAAATAAAAGAGAAAATCCAGTAAAAATAAAAACAAATACTAATACCTAAACAAAGAAAAAGAAAACAAGAGAAACATAGAAAATCAAAATGAATAAGCGCACAAAATATGTCCTGAACCTTCCCCGGCAACGGCGCCAATTTTGTTGTGAATATTTTTTTGGAGTAGAATCGAAAGATTCAAACACCGGGTTGTGTCTCACGAGAAAGGTTAGTCGGAATACTATGTCCGTTTATTCAAACACGAATGAAAAAAATAAAAATCCTAGACATTCTAATTCAGTTGATTTGGGTTGATTTTAATTATCTACTAGCACGAGGATCTAAATTAAGCAATGTAAATAGCAAGCAACATAGAACACATAGGATTAGAGAAGCTAGGGAGTCGGGGATGTCCGTTTTGGTTCGAAATGTTATTATCGAGCAAGTGATTGTCCAGTTAAGTGATTTGAATAACCTACACGTTCAAGTACTCATTCTCAATAACTTTTTGTAACAAGAGAACAAACTAGAACGACAAGTTAATAAGTCATTTAACTCCTAGGCAATACAGTTACGAACAAGCCTAGCTTATGCGAGCCTATTTCGATCGACTCCTTCCCTTTCGGTTCTAACAGTCGATTAACTTAGACTAGAAGATGATTAATCAACTAGCCCGTTTAGAATTAACAACATCAAACATGAATTTATCAAATTCAATTGAAACAATTGCAAGTTGATGTGACGCCCCGTATTTTATTAATAAAGGAAAATACTAGCTTTCAGTTTAAGCTAGCCTTTGTTAATAAATAGACATGTTCAAGTTCAGTTGATCAGTCAGTCATATCCTATGTTCGACTTTTAGTCGATAAGTTATTCGGTACTATTTTTAGTAACCGAATGAGTTTTCCAGATTTAATTCCGATGAGGAATTAATTATTCAGTCAGTGACATTTTGTCAGCTTATCAGTATAATTCATGTTCTAGTTCCGATATTATTTTTCGGAATTAATTATTCTCAGTCAGTTCAGTCGAAGTTACCGGAAAATATTTTCGACGT